TCCAACTCCTCATATTCTGTGATTCTGTAAGAAGTCAACCAGAGAAGTCTTGTCCTGTCGTTAGAGAAAGCCGAGTGCTGAAGGTAGTGTATACCAGGGAAAGGACACTGGAAGGTGTATCCATAAGCAAAGCCTCTTTAATTATCAGTGAGAACTGGCATATTGTCTGAAAAATGGGAGCTTACACATCTGAAGATGCTCCTGTCCTTTCACTGTTTGTCCCAGTATCCCCACCTGTTGTTTGGCAAAGCATTAAGTTGGAAAGGCAAGGCCTTAAACGTCTTAAGCAGTGGGACCACATCAGATCTATTATATCCAAGTATCTCCCTAAGTGACCTGCGTCTTGCTGCCAAATAGTCTAGCTGGTTCAGAAAAATGCACTCTCTTTCATAATAGAGAGCTAAAATGCAACCATGTTTTGTAAAATGAGCATTGGAATCGACATTTTTCACTCTTCCTTCAGGGAAGAGCAATATCATGCATATTGCCTTGGGTCCATAGTTTGAAGAAGGTTAACAGCAAAGCGATGGAAAACATGAGTGAAATTCAGCAGCCTTTTCCTACTGTCACAAGTGTTGCTCTTTCCGACCCAACCAAGCAGCAATGCTTCCAGAGATGTCAGCTGCAGAACTGACATCTTCAGTGAAACACTTCTGGGGACCTGGAACAGGGACCTTGACCCCTGTGGCTGCCCGAAATTGGCTCCACAAGATGACTTTGTTCAGGGCCCAGGCACACACTGCTTCGTTAAAGATAGTGGCAGCATCTTGCAGTTTGGATTGCTCACATGAAGGAGTTGTATATGCGAAAGAGGTATTATGACTGGTGTGTCATAGCAGTGTAATAAAAGATTGAGTGTATTCAATGATTTCAGTGGCTACAGAGATTCCTTGCATTACAAATGAGAAGACTGGGTAGTGAATAAACATTAAATGCCTTTAAAAAAAACCCCAAACCAACAGATGGTATCCTATATACTATGAAAAGTCAGTGACAACCGAGACAATTCAATATATCTAACACAATGGTGTTGCATTGAATCACACATTAAAATAAAATTATGTTGGTAGGGTTATAAAGAACACCCAGCGTACTAAGAATTGACTGTAAAGCAGCAGCATAAACAACCGTCTGTCTCTGCATTTCCATCCTGACCTTCAGTTCATTCCCCTGAAATTTCAGCTGTGCAAGCCTCGTCTGCCACTTTTGCTTAATTGCACAAAAATTTTAAAATATGGGGAGCCAAGGTGACACCGCGAAACTCTTATTTCCTTATTCCAAGTAGTGCCTGGGACCAGGTCTCTTGCACCGAGTTGTGCTTGTGCTCACACACTGCTGCTGAGAACAGAGCAGGCGAAATCCTGTGTGTGCCCCTTTATTAAGGATACCTGGTTAGCCTGACTCTAGGTGGACGCAATCCAAGTGAGACGGAATTGGTTTTATATAATTTTTATTGCAGAAATAATGGCATGTACTCCTAATCCTTTTGCCATATAGCACAGTATTTTACATCTGTATGCTAACTAAAACACCGAGGCTGTAAAACCTGGCACCTGTGGTACCCAGTCATCTTGTTGAACTCCAGCTCTGGCTTTGTTGCTGGGCTATAAATAGTTTTGCTTGTGTACAGCATTTGACATTAATACACAGTGTGCTGAGTATCTGTTGACTTCTCTAAATTCTCCCTAATTTACCATTCTATATTTAAATACTTCCAAATGCAAGGGAGAAAAAGTATAATTCTCAAGATCTGTTTTTAATCAGACGTTTCTGCTTTGCAGGAGAATCGATGGGTGCAGAAGTTACTGTACTTTATGAGTTAGCTCCAAGGTAAGAGTGCAATGAATGTTTATCAAACATGATTGATAAGTTGATAAGGACTCTCCATGTTTTTTAGCACAACTTTCATTGTTTCGCTTTTTGGGAGGGCTTTGCTTATGTTGCCTGTTTCTTTAATATCCATTTTGTTAATAAAATATCCATAGAAGACAAAGGCTTTTTCCCCCCACTTCTCAGTAGAAGGTGAAATACTGAGGGAAGCATCATGCTACCAGAACTGTTCCTTGATGGACAAACAAAACGTGCAGTAATACGCTGCGGTGTATGCTCAGGTATTCTCCTAATGGCAGCTGCTAGGAGGGACACTCCGCTAACTTTCTGTTTCCGTGACCTTGGGGGCTGGCTCAGGATCGCTGAAGTGCACTCTCAAAACACCCTTGTGCTGAAGGTGAAGAGAGCAGGTGTTGTTATGCTGCATGTGTTGGTTTTGTGCCAGCCTGGGACTCTTCTGTGCTACAGAAATCCTCAGCTCAGCTCAGTTCAAGGCAGCTTGAGGTCCCCTGAAGGCGAAGGTGACTGCCCGGCGCTGGGACGTGAGCCCTAGGCTGGAGCTCCCTTGGTTTTTCCTGCTCGCTTCAGGGAGGTCTGAATTCCAGGCTCGATGTTTAACTGTGATGTGTATCATGTTCTGTCACATACATCCACTTGCTTTACCTGTGTCTTGTAAATTTGATGCCGCGGTCTCTGTCATGCTTCCGAAGTAGTAAAATGATTTTTATATTTAAAATGTTTCGTTTGGCACAAAAGAGATAATGAGATGAACGCCACAATGTACCAGCAACTGACGGATGAATCACCAGTACCATCTGCTCTTCATAGCTTGTCTGACTTTGATTTGTCAGAAAAGTCGTCTCTCGGATCACCTGAGCACAGGCGTGACCTCGAAGAGCAGCGTGGCACACTGGCGCTTCTGCCAAACAAGTTTCCCCCAGGTAATGTTTTTCCCACTGAAGATTCACTAGATATTGGGAAAATGTGATAAATAAGACACAGGGGAACTAATTAAGAAATAATGAAGAATGTTTGTCTGCTTCAGCTTTCCAGTATCTTGCATAATCATTGCAATTTCAGTAATAAGGCATACAGAGATGACAACGATTTGAGCTACCTCCTGTTTGAAACAAAATTAACTGTGTTACTTTGTGTCTTTGTTGTTTTAGACTATCATCTTTTACAGTACTCCAGACGGTCTTTAAATAGAGAAGTTATAAGGGGAAAATAGACTATTGTCAAGAGATTATTACATTGAAAAAGAGAGATTTTCTAATTTTATAAAAGCCAGTGTTGTGTTTCCTTGAGAATTGTAAGTGCTGCATAATTAATAAGCGGTGTCATGTTTGACCTGGATAGTTTCACTAAGCACAAGTGATGCTTGCAGTAGTTTGTTATAGGCAGCGATGAAAATTTAATAGCTGAGATAGCACGTACTGCACCGGAGAAAAATATTGCAGAGTAACCCAGGAGTGTGTGACATGGATAAACAGACAAATAAGATCGTGACAGTTAGAACAGATAAGTTCCTGAGGAAAGCTGAAACTTACAGCCAATGGAAGAAAAATTGGAGAATGGTAAAGCAAGAAGGAAAAGGTACGGTAATGAAACTTGATAGAGCAGATTTATTTATTATGGTATGCATTGTGTAAGTCAAAGTCACATTTATATCTGAGTTACTCTGGTAAGCTTGCTGTTGTTATAAGGAAAAATGTGTACTAGTGGTGCATCGAGCCTGAATGTGAAGCTGCATTGCAGAACTTTGGATTCATTTCCCAGATCGGGGAGCGTTTTAACTCGATAAAATTGTTATCGACTACAGCTTTGGAAGAAGAAGAAATTTTGAAAGTCTGAAAACTGGACCACTGTTTAAGTTAAAATGTAGAGTAGGAGTTTTCACTAAATGCATGATGTGTGTGCTGTATGGACAAAGACTGGAGTCGGTTATTTAATGTCTGCCATTTTGAAGAGCTCTGTGCCATTTTTTAGTATGAACACACATTCAATTTGTCAGGAGTACACAGCGTAAAGGAATACAATCATTTACTCTAAGTAAGAAGTGGTCTCTTGGTTTATTTAGAGTTATTAATGGAGCATCTGCAAGAAATTCGAATCCTGAGACAACGTTTAGAGTACTCCATAAAAACTAATGAGAGACTGAGGAAGCAGCTTGAGAGACAAGTAACAGACAAGGAACTAGATCAAGGTAAGAATTTATTTCATGACAAATTAAATCCACCTTTTCTGCTTAAAGCCTGAGGGATCCAATGCTGCTGGAGATGATTTGTGTCCTTTTTTGAATAAACTCCACCCTTTTACAGTTGGAAAATGATGTGCCTTTCTCTGAATGCTGCTGCCTCTTGAGCACCATCAGCAGACACAGCTTTTCTGTGCTTGTAGAGTGGCATAAATACAGATCTCATGTGCCTCTTCCTTGAGTCCGTTGCTTGACGTGTATCCAGTTTCGATGCACAAATCTTTTATGGGATACAGGTACAGCCTCAAACCTACAGTTGCACGTATTTCTAAGAGAAAAAAACCTACCAGGTAGTGATATTTGATGATGCTGTGGTTGAATTTCACACAGAGAATTGAAATACTTTTCCAGTTCTGTTATCAGCAAATAGCCTGCTATTTTTTTGTGTGTATGTACGTGCCTTTGCGATATCTTTATTGTTATAATGGTCTTGGATTTTAAGATACCATCTCCTTTTAATTCTCAGCCGTATCCAGCCAGGGGCTGTTGCAGGAGAGGAAGCCCATTTTATCAACATAATTTCAGTGGGGCCTGGGCCCAGTATGGATAGAGGAGGAGGAGCTTTGCTCTGAATTACACTGCTGCCATTGATCCGAACTAGGAATTTTGTGTAATTCACTTCCTTATGCCTACTCCACGTGTACCTGGGGTGGTCAGTACAGCAGCACTGCTAACAGGACTGTTGGAGATGCCTACTCTGGAATTTTCTGACTGCTTTAAAGCCAGCTTGTGTTTACATACAAGGACAAAATACCTGTAAGACAGTGCCTGGGCCATGGTGTTCAGCTTGTCATTTGAATTGATTGGTGTGATGAATGTGTTCTGCACCAAATGACATCGTGGGCTTTTGATGAGAAATACCTGACAGTAACTGATGGAAATTTTAACATAGAGTTGGTTTTCATTTCAAACTCTTAATATAAAGCAGTGGATGAAAAATACCAAAAATAGGTATGCAAATTCAGAGTCAGTGCTCTCTGTTTGCTGGTGTTCAACATCTTTGGAAGCCAAGCTCTGTGGTGCATTTAAAACTTTTCACAAGAAGGTAGCCAGGCTTTCCCTAAGGATGCTTTTGTAGCACCTTTTTAAGCACATTGTACCACACAGACATTCCCAGCATCACTGAGTGACAGGGGTTGGAAGGGCCCTCTGGAGATCACCCAGTCCAACCCCTGCCAGAGCAGGATCACCGGAGGAGATCACACAGGAACCCCAGGCGGGTTTGGGTGTCTCCAGAGAAGGAGACTCCACAGCTCTCTGAGCAGCCTGGGCCAGGACACTGGTGCCCTCACAGTAAAAGAGGTTTTCGTTATGTTTAAGTTCAACCTCCTGTGTTCCAGTCTGTGACCACCCCCCCTTGTCCTGTCGCTGGGCACAACCAAGAAGAGTCTGGTCCCATCCTCCTGATCCCCACCCTTTAGGTATTGATAAGCATTACTTTCCCACACTTTGCTCTGTTCTTGCTCTCCTTCCCACATTCCCCTCCTTAGGACAATTGATTAATATGCAATATTACTCAGAGTGGAAGCAGGCAATAAATACATACATGCTTTCCTTTTACTCAGTTTCACTAATATTGACATTAGATTCATTATATTTTACATCATCCCCGTGATCCATTTCTGTTGTTGTTTAAATGGAGACTACCTGCAAATGGCAGTTTGCTTTCAGGGATAATTTACAGTGATGGAAAGGTGTACAAAAAGCATCCATTTCATTCATGAAGTATTTACGCTGCTGGAAAGGCATACTGTTCTCGTGAAATAACCACACTGAAACACTTCCAACTCTTTTACAGCTTCATAAAGATTCTGGCAAGGGCATCCATTAATGCAGTGAAAGTATATTTTCTTTATAAACTGTCTTATGCCTTCCATCTGTCTTCTTGTTGCCTCAGTACATCTACCAATGCACTGAGGAGAAATTTGGAAAAGAAAGGGAAAAAGCAACTACCTGTTAGCATAGCTCCTGTTGGTGCTGTGGTTTTCCAGTGCTGCCTGTTTCTCTCTGTTTTGAAGATCTCTTTCATGTTACCAGATAGATGTATTCTCTCTTTTAGTAATGATGCTGCTTTTTTTTTTTTGTAATAGATGGGCTTTTTTTTACTTTCAATGTAAAAAGACGTTTCTAAGTGAAGTTGAGGCAGATTTTAGCTTTGGGAAATAATAATTCAAAACAGTTCTTTTTATTTTTAACTTCATAGCCTTATTTTTTTTTTTCCTTTTAAAAATAAAACCAAGTTGTAACTTACTTAATTGTTGATGAGAGCTTGTTAAATTCATGTGATGTTGAGTTGTTTGTTCAGCCAGAGTTAATGCACAGAATTATTCTTGTCCAATAAATATTATATGGCTGTGTATGTATCTGCCCACTATTTTTGCCATGCTATTTTTAATATTTAGATTCTCTAAGTATTCAAATGCCTCTGGGCTTCTAGTATTCTATAAATGACTCAAGTGCTGGTAGTTACTACATCGTTACTATAGAGCTGAGGTTTGCAGTGCAAGTAGAACTGAAATAATAGCTTTTAGTTTGAAGCCTAACATTTGAAATGATTGAAGCAAAGGTTTGAGTTTCCTAGGTTTCAAATGTTTTTAATGGCAGTTAACATTAAAAGGGGTTTTTGTTTGCTTTTTTTAACCCGTAAGTAACTAATGTATCTACTCAGACTTACCTTCAGCGTTAGTATGCCTGTATTTTGCTTTACCTGGGGATGAATATTTCCTTCCTTTTTGCGGTGATTTTCTTTCAGTGCCTGTCTGTCAGTCAGTGTTTCCTTTGAAACCTTCAAGGTTCGCATCCTTAGCACTCACTTGTTCAGCACAAAACATAATGAAAACTCAAGTGCATTGCGGCTGTAGGCCCTGGTGCTCCACTGTGCGCTGGTGAGATGGCCCTTTGCATCTGTGGAGAGCGTAATTGATGTCAGCAGGGCTCTGCACAGAAGTGGTAGTCTCAGTAGTGGGTCAAATTGCGGGATTGTGGCCTTATTACCACCGGCTCTACATTATCTCTTATTATGTAAGATAACTAATAGTCATATTCTAAAGCCTTTCAGTAGAACTGTGATAGCATAACTTTTCAAATAGGATAAAGCTGGGTGATGGGCAATAAATTAAATTAGAATCAAGATGAGACCATCAAGCCTTGCCACTTCAAGTTGAATTGCTTTGTTAAAATCTGAAAGGAAAAAGCCTTTTGAGTTCACATAGCTACCTCAACTCTTTAACATATAGATAGTAAAATGCCATTACTGCCAGACTTCTAGAGCCTTTGAGTCTTTCAGTAACGACAAGAGGTGCATATCATGGCACACTACATCCCAGTTAGGTAGTGGGTAAAAGCTTCAATTGGGATTACAATGAAATGAGATTACTCAGAGGAAGTGCAGCACATCAAATTGAATTGAACTGCCAGAGCTGAAAGGCATCCTCCTCATACATTCAGCTAATTTTTTTGCCAGCTGGTTATTTCTCTATTAACCAAATAGTTGACACTCATGTATTTATCTCGAGCTTTAAAGCATAGGAGATACTGGGATAACCAATCAACTGAAAAATACTTTTAATAGTAATGTTAATTCCGGTGGGTCCTGAAGTGTTTTACTGACTATAAGCAGGTTATAAAGGGCAATATCAATTACTTGATTTCCATTTCAGAGGCAGCCACCTTGAGAGTGGAATGTGGCACTTTGCAGACTGTACTACAACATTACACATCGCTGTGGGATGAGTGGCATAAATACAGTACATTATGAGGGTTACCTAGGCTGGAATTTGACTGACTGGATACACGATTTAACACTGGCATTCATTCAACTAGCACAATAACATCCTCAGAGTAGGATTCATCACCCTTAAGTTTCTAAAAGTTAGACATCTAAGTCTGTGCTGGTTACCCAGAGCTTCTCATGCATCTCTTTGGAGGACAGGGCCTCATCTCACCTCCAGAGAGGTGAGTAGGGGTTGCGTTGGATGAGCCACAATCTGGAGGTGCCTGTTTCTCCCCATTTCTCAACCATGGTGATGGTTGATCAGCACTGGCTCAGTTATCTAAATTTTAGATACACACATTTAAGAGGGATGAATTTTCATGCCTGTGATCATAAGTGGGTTCTCAGTTTGTAATCAGGGGCAAAGGCAGTGACTCCAGCCTTATGCTCTAGACTGGCGTGGTACCAGATCTGTTACCAGACTATTTACATTACTTCCTGCATTAACCACCGTGGATCAGTTGTAGAATCTAGTGGTTCTCTGCGATCATATCTTTAAATACAACAGGGTATGAACAAAGCAAGACTGAAATACAAAACCTTCCAAGAGTTTGAATTATTTTCAAAGAGTAGCAATGTCACAAAATACTCCTGCATTTTGTACTGTTGGAATATTAACTGATAGGTAAGTGCTGCCAGGAATAATTTTGCAATTTTGGTAATGGTTGCCCAGCAATGAGAGGTACTCGTGATGCAGGGCTTTGGATTACTTGGCATTGACCTGAACTGCCTTTTAGTCTGTAGGAATAACCTTCAAAACATATAGAGGAGAAATATCTTTCATAACATGTTTTTCTGCAATTTTTTAAATTGTTCTTGTCTGAAAAGTTTAATCTTTAATGACCTAGAGATGACTCATAAATCATCTTTTATGTATATATTTATAGGTTCTGCAAACATTTTTATCCGTGGCTCAGAGCAGCATAATTCCCTGACTTCTGAAATACATTTCCTGAGGAAGCAAAATCAAGTTCTGAATGCAATGCTAGCAAAAGGATCCAGAGGTAAAAGTGTAAAACTGTGCTTTACAGGAGTAGACTGCAACTCGTTACAGATCAGAAAACAATAAATATTAACAGTCCATTCATTAAACTGACTCAACCATTTGTCATTCTTCTGTTTTAAAATAATGTGGGTATCTCTGGAGTTTGTGAGCTTCTTTTCCTTATGTTCCTGGATGCACTGGAGAAAGAAAAGCCTTGGAGACTTCCTGCATGTTTTGGTCTCAGGTGCTTGATCCTGCTTTGGCAGGGGTTGGACTGGATGATCTTTCGAGGTCCCTTCCAACTCCTGATATTCTGTGCTTTCTGTCTGTAGTCCTAGCTTAGCCCTTCAGCAGTGAAAGGCTGGTGATGCACATCTTTAGCAGCATGTGGACATACCATTTTCCTGCACTTTCAACAAGACTACTGAAGATGAGGAAATGATTTTTTAACTACTAGGAGATGGGATGATTCCTCCCTGCTGTTTCTTTGCCAGGGTTGCCACCTCCTTTCCCAATGCTAAACGTAGGGTCACAAAAGACTTGGGGTCCCCAGAAGCCTCTCTGGTTGCGGCTGTCTCAAAGTGTTCACATGTCCCTGTCAGCAATTCTTTGTCACAGACCCAGTCTGGGGAGGTGGTTTGTGCCAAGGAGTGATGGGCTGATGTGATACATTTGGCTGACGAATAGAGCTGGGAAAGAGAGGACAGAGGGATTTCTGTGAGACGAAGAGGAACATGGTTGCAATGTGCCCTGGAACAATCCCACTGAGTTATTTTCTTCCTAAAGAGAAGTCAAGTCCATTATCTTGTGAGGATTGGCAAAATTCATGTGCCTGCTTTGGGATCCTGCTGCCACTGCTTGTTGAATGCTGCCCTTCTGACCACCTTCCAAGAGGTGTTGGGGCATTTGACATATGAGGCTGTACACAGGTTTTTACTGAGCCTTGGCGAGTCCTGGGTGTTAAATGTTTCACATTACAGAAAATGCACCTACAGGAAGTCATTAGAAAATTGAAATCCTAAAAAGCACAGGAGCAGCTGTTATTTTCTGACAGTCTCTGAAAAAGCTGGTTTTGTTAAAAAGCATAGCTTTGGTGGGTTGTGGGCATTGCAAACACCTTGTGTTTCTTGTTTTTTTCAGATAAACAAAAGGAAAATGAAAAGTTAAGAGAATCTCTTTCTAAAAAGAATGCAATCATCGAGCATCTTCATGAGGATTATGAATGCGTCAAGAAAGAAAATGAAAGGTTGCAAAAACAAATTGGCCAAAAGGAAGATGAAACCAGATATCTGACATGTCAGATTTACAGCAGTCGTAATGAATTAAACAGGTATTGATTCTGTCCACATTTAGACATTCATTTAGAGAAGAAAATTGTCAATGTGACAAGCATGTGTTTAGCCATAGCCATTAGCATTAATGAGGTGCATAGATATATTCAAAAGGCAAGGGAAGAGTTATGGAGGAAAGAGGAATGGATTTTAGATTTTGAAACAAAATGCAAGGATTTAACTTGGCTGTTTATTGGGACTTAACAGGTTGCAAACAGAAATTAATGTAAAGCAACATCAGCTCTCTGAGAATGAGAAGTTACTGCAGTCGCTCCGAACAGAGATCAAGGTTTATGAAAAGCTGGAGGAAGCAAGAAGGAAGGGGGCAGGTATAAATGCACAATTGTTTCTATACTCCTAGCTTTTGCAACCCTTCCCTCTCTGAATATGATCTTGTCAAAGGCCAGCAGGGCTAGGGCACTGTTTATTTCTGCCTGTGTCTCCTATGCAAAGCAGAACTGACAACTTAGTGATAAAATGCTGCTTTTGACTTAGGAGCGTAACAGCGAGGTTGAGATGTGTGGTATGTTCTGACTAGGCACACCCAAGTTTCCTTTATCTTTTTAGCTAAGATAAAATCAAATACTGAAGATTCAGTGGCTCAGGCTGGAGAAGCTTAATGGGGATCTTAGATATTTACTTGTCATCTAAATACATGCTGCTGTGTCCCCACAGGTACTGCTTACTCAGGTAGCTTGTGCTTTCCTTGTCTGAATACGAGGGTAGTGTCTTCTCCCTAGGGCTGGGAGAAGTGCTGGCACTGCTTTCCAAATGAGACATTTAATAAAGTCCTGTCTGCTTTTCTGTCACTAAAGGTGAGGGGTAGGAATGAGACTCGCATGAGTTCTTCCTGCCCCTTTTAAGGAAGCTACACCACCACATAGCTGTTGGTGTGGTTAGGTAAAAAAGTGCAGTGCTGTTCACTGCTGCATACCCGTTACAGGATCCAGCAAGTTTCCCATTGGAAGTTCTTGTGAAAGTGAATTTTTTTCTTCCTGCTACTTCAAGTAATATGCCCTGCTGTCACTATTTCGTGCTTAGCTGCAGCAGAAGAGCCCTGTTGGCATAAGGCTTTAAGCCAAAGTTGGCTCAGGGATGGAAGTAAGTCTCCTTGCAGAACTGGCGATGTAATTAGAGTAGCAGCACCCTCCTCGTGCAGCTGAGCCCCTTCCCACTGTCTGGAGAACAATTTGATTTCAGCATGAAAGAATACATGGCATTGTTTGTGTACTGACCTCCTTCCAGCATAAGGCAACCGCAGCCCTTGCTTTTCCCAGGTTCAGATTTATTCCTCTGGTTGCCAGGTGATCACTTTTCTTTTTTCTTTTGTGTATAAAATTAAACTCCCAATTCTGCTCCATCCCTCCTCCGCACTCTGAGATTACCCATTCCTTTTTCTTTCCCCAGACTGTGTATTAATGCACTTCAAATTTTGTAAATCCTCTTCATTCTCTTTTTATTGTATTTTTCGCTTTTGGCATAAGACTTACTAGCTTTTATGGACAAAGTGAAAAATAATTTTCAGCTCTTTAAATCTTTTGAGGGTGGAAGCAATTAAGATGTGCTTTCTTGTCACACCATTATCTTAATGCTGTTTGTGGTTCATTCTTTATATTGAGGATAACGCTGGCTATAATTTACTTGCTCAGCATTCTGATAATGGCTAATATTATTTTAATTGTTAAAGATGTTAAGTGTTTCTGTTGAAATTGTCTCAGATCCCAGGTGTGATGCATCAGAAGAATTCCGAAAAGATCAGAATAATCCACTTGACTTACATGAACTATTGACTGAAATACAGAGTTTGCGAGTGCAGCTTGAAAGAAGCATAAACACAAACAAGTCTTTACATGAAAAATTAGAGGAGCAGCTTTCAAAAGAAAAGAGAGAGGAAGTGGGATCAGTGTCAGCTGTTCATATCAACTATCTTTTCAAACAGGAATCTCAGCATTATGCAGGAATGAACGGTACTGTGCCATGCATGCTTTTATCACGCACTAGAACCTGTGCCTTGTTCTTTAAAGGTGCTCCTGAAGCCTCGTACAACATCAGCTGTGCATTTGGGAGCTGCCCATCAGCCTTTCAAATCCCTTTTCTGTTCGAGCTGTTGGTGCATGGGGTGGTGGGATGCGCCCTGCACTGTCTGACAGCCTCCAGCTGTCACTCCCTTTTCATTCAAGAAAAGCATTTGCAAACAGTCTCTGGGGTGGAGGGAGGCTTACATTAACTTGCCATAAATTTTGCTTACCTGGGGTTCTTTTTAATGCAGAGCTCTATAGCGTTTACTAAGGGTATGTATTACTCAAGCATGATCAATAAGTGCACTAAATAGTCTTTGTATAAATCAGTTGTCCCCTTTTTGCCCTTGAGGAATATTTTACCTTTATTTCAATCACTGTTAAGTGATACTGTTTTAGCAAATCAGGGAAAATGTAGTGTTTACACTGAGGGTTAGATTATTGTCCTAATATAGATGTACATGTGATGCAGAGGGCACAAGAATGTACCTCCTTGCTGCTAAAGTATTCTGCATAGTAACAGCTCTCCATACTTGCAGCAGAAACCACCTTTCCTACTGCCTGTACAGGTACACATCTTGTTATGGGAACCAGTAATAATAATGGGGCTTTTTGGGTCCATACACTTCACCTGAACATGCCTCCCTAAATCTTATGCACCACACAGAGCAGGCAGAAGCAGCCAGGTAAAGAGAGCTAGTGGGAGAGCTCACAGGATACAACAGGGCTTTTTACCTCCTCACTTCATTTGTGGGTCCATCGTGTAAAACACATAATCAGTGTAACTCTGCGCTCTCCTTGGAGTGTCCAGAACTGAACTTGTTAGCTTTTTAGATGTTCTCTTGTTAGTCTTTACTCATAGGTACTCAGGGAATTTGGAAGGTCTGAAAAGGGGGGATAGAGATATGATCTTTATTACGGTATAACTGTGGAGTGTGTGGTATTTTTTGTGAAGTTAATGAGAAGTGTACACTTGTTGATTAAAATGTCTTCATCAGGATGTATTAGATTTTCTGATTATGACTTGATTTGGGGAGATACCTTGAACTTCGGATAGATGCTAAAAAGATAAATATAGGTAAATAACTGGAAGATCCGTGGTGTGGTACTAGAAAATCAGCTGTGTTACCTCAGGACTCAGGGAAACATCACCAAGAAAAAAATAAATAGTAGAAGTAGAGCTAGGAAGTTGTTGGTTTGTTTTTTTTAAAGCCCGTGAACCTCTACTGCTATACCCTTCCTTGTCCTGTTTTTATATATAGAAAAGCTTTGCAAAGGCCCTGCTGCCACCAGAAACAGACATTGCATTTTGCTAGTGAAAACAGGTATATCCACAAGTATTGTAAATGTGCGTGTTATCAGTATCCCAGACTTGCTGTTCAAGAGAAGTCCAGTGTCAATTAGTTCTCCACGTAAGGATAAAATAATTTAAAGTATTGTTCTGTCCCAGGTACGCACTCAGCCTCTAAAGATGATTTAGACAGCACCTCACACTGCAGTAGTGCTTCATCTTCCAGCACGGCGTGCACCCCTCGTCTTGTGCCTGGGCATCGCATGTGGGCAGACAAAAACGGGCGCCACGTTCTCGGCTTGATTGAGGATTATAACGCTCTGCGGAAACAGATTGCAGAAGGGCAACAGGTTGTAGCAGAAATGGAGATTTCTTTGAGAGAGGTCACTGGTACGAAACTGCAGGAGCCTGGAATAAAGGTAAACAGCAAAATCTGTTTTAAAGGATGGCGAATTTTACCTAGAGGTGCAAAATGCCAAGGTTCCAAAAGCAAAGAACTAGGTTAATGGTGCAGCAGGCTCCATTAACTGAATAATTCTGTTAGAACACCTCAAGCTTGACAGTCCAAGTCTCATCTAGATGCAGGCATCTATTTGTGATTCTAGGTTAATGAGGCTATGGATAAATGAATTAATTCTGGTCCTTTAATAAGCAATCGTGCTTTTACCTGCAACTTGAAATGAGGTGGAACTACTTGCTTTTACTATAGAAACTGGTGATTGTTACACTGGAAATGATTTAAAAAGCCAAACAAACAAAAAAGTAACTAACAAAAAAACCCAGATAAAACGCTAAAATGCTTTAGAATGGGCTTAAACTAGGGGAATGTATCAGTAACTGTCGTGGTTTGGGCCCAGTGCATAGCTGAGCACCACGATGCCCCAAAAAGGGCCAGTCAAAATAAGAACTGGGAGGGCTTCTCACCACTTAAAAAGGTCACAGGCAAAAGACAGACTCATCATAAGGAATAAAAAAACAAAACAATTTTAATTTGTTACCAACATCAGAGTAGAACAATGGGAGATACAACCAGATCTTAAAGTCAAAACAACTTCCCCCCAGCCCTCCCTTCTTCCCGGGCTCAGCTTTTGTTCCCCGTTCCTTCACCTTCCCCCTCCCCCTTTGCCTTGAGGCACAGAGGGATGGGAGTGGGGGTTGCAGTCGGTTTTCAGATGTGCTTCTCAGGAGTAGGAAAGACTCTGCCCAGCCTCTCTCTCTGCTTCCATGTGGCCCCCTTTCCACAGGGGAAAAAAAAAGTCCTCAAAAGTCCAATCTGGGTCTGCCCACAGCTGCAGTTTCCCTCACACACAAAACTGCTTCAGCCCAAGTCCACAAAACTCCAATATGGGTCTGCCCATGGTCACAATTCCCTCACACATGACCAGTCGACCCGGCTCTTGCCACGGATGTCAAAGGGGAAACCTGAGTCTGCGTCCTCCTCCTCCCTCTCTTTTCTTTCCTTCAAACCGACCTTGGTGTTCTTCAACAAGTTGTTCTCCTCGGGCCCCACTCCTTTCTCCGCTGCAGGTCTCTTCTGATGGTTCTGGAGATCCCCTCTCTCTCTCTTTTTGGGATGAAGCTGCAGTGGGGCTTAAGCTTAAGTTGTGGTCAGGACCGGCCAAGCCCAGCCTGGCAAGGCCAGGGCCACACCACCTGCATCTGGGGCCATGTTGGTCAGGGCCAGTGCCAGAGAGGGCAAAGCATGCCCTGCACCCCCCTTAAACACATGGATTTGCAGGGGCACTGATTGGCTTGGGCCTGGGCAGAGGGGGGGCTGACAAAGGAAAAGGGGGAGCTTTTCAGGTAGCTTCTTAAAGGGCCATCTCCATAGCCCTTCCCCCGTTACCAAAGACAACAAAAAACCCCTCACAGAAAACCCTATACAGTAACCTAAGGATAAAAATAAATAAGGCAATTTTCTTGTGATGAAGGCTTGAAATAAACCCAGGAAATATGAGATAGTTAAAAGAAATTTGATATAGAGCTGATAAAGTTCCCCACTTACTTGTATTCAGCCTTTTTGTAATGCCAGGTGATAACTGTACATTAATGATGATGAATGCCAATGAGGATTGTTTCATATTAGGGAAGCTTTTAAATGTTTTTCCACTCCTTGGTATCAGTTGAACACTTGAGCAATATCAGTAGCTAGTCTTGAAACTTGAATTAATGATCACATCATGTCTTATAAGACACAGTGCATTGTCCTTTCTGCATCTTGTGTCGCACAGTGGTATCAAGTCATGGTGCTCTTGCTGTAGTCTTAAACATAATAATTCTTAAACCAATAAAATATTTGCCTTGTATTGAATATTGTCAATCGTTTTCCTCTAGAGTCAGGAAGACAACTTGTGTTTACTTATGCTATTTTTTTCTCATTTAATATTGTTACTGTCTGGGTGCAGTTAATGGTAACATATTTGGCGTGGATTGAATAAGACAAATTACCTACAAGCTTCAACAAAAGGGAAGGACCAATCTGTGCATGTCCATGGTCCCTAATAAGGAACTAAAAAACTTAAACTGCAAGAGGAAAGGCTAGAAACAGGCATTTAAAAACGACATGCCAGTGGTAAAAGTAGTGAAACCCCAGAATGGAGGGTGTTACTGGAGGCGCTTTTAAGAACAGATTACATTAATGTTTGAAAAATTACATGTAATGCTTTCCTGCCTTGGAGAGGGAAAGTAAACTGGGTGACTAATGAAGGTACTTTTCACCCCTGTGATTTTAAGATAATGTAAATGTTGTGAAAAACGTGCTCACAGCTCTTCAGAATGCAGAGGATCTTAACTGCATGGATAAATTCGTGCTACTTATTTTTCTAGTTGTAATTAGTAAAGCTATTGAAGATGCAGTCTTCAACAATTCTGAAATTCTTTTTGTGGCATCACATGTGTGCTCACACAGTAAAATGATGTCTGGATGACACTTAAGACTCTCTGAAGTATCATATATTTTCAAATGACCTAGTTAAGGTACTGATAATGACTGAAAAAGTAATCTCTCCGTTAAGTTTGTAGCTTGTTTTGTTGGTGTAAAGATAAAAGCAGCAAGTTTCACAATTTGCAGTTTCCTATCAAGCTCTAAATCACTGAAGTTTCAGACTACTTAGCAAATGGGGTATTTTATGTGACAGGAAGATGCTGGTGAGATAACAGTGCTAAATAAGCATTCAAACAATATGCTGCATGGGGCAGAAACTGTGAATGCTTTCCTTTCATTACCCTTCCCCTTCTGTATCACCATTGCTTTGGTAATTCATTTGCTTCCCTTGCATTCTTTCCCTCCTTTATTTCACATTTATGCAATTTCTTCAATTTGGTTTTCTCATCTGTCAGCAGAGGAAAACATTTTATGTGTGTCCTGATAGTTATTTTAGCATGAAATGGAACAGTTTAAAGGGTTTGCTAAGGAAGAAACATCTATATTGCTTAAATTGATGTCTGTAATAATTTGACTTTCAAATAACACAACACGAGATGCAAAGGGAGAAAGAAGAGAGTTGCCAGCTCTTACCACGTGGCATAGCAAATCTAGTAAATATAATCTATTATTAATCATGGTTATTGATTAGGATAAATTCCCTCCCTTCCTGAAATTCTCAGATAATGCATAATTCAGCAGTCTTTGTAAACTAACAAATTAGCTTTTGTGGCACACAGTGGCTGTGTATATCATCTTAAATACGAAATTATACCGACTGTATTTACACCATTAATTAAGATTACATTTTCATAATGTTTCAAGCATAAAATATAACTTGTCTCTAATCTATGATATAGGTACCAGACCAGGCATCACTGCATAGTTTTTCTGCAAATATTCACACAGTACAGCAGATTTTAGAAGAGGCTGCACGTTTACTGAAACTTCTCTGGAGAGTTTCCCTGCCACTGAAAGCCGTACACGGTGCTACTCATGGCTCTCAGGTACTGTTATGGTTCATTTTGGGGGTTGTTTTTTTTTTTTTTTTTAAATTTTATTTTTAACTGCTGTAATGTGTCGAGGAAGATGCACCAGTTAGGAATGGCATTTGGGAAAATCATTTGAAAGTCATGAACCCAGGATGCCCAGTCTCTGAACTCATGCATTTGGTCAGCCCTCGCCACTGAAGGCTCAGGGTGAATGTGTGCTGGTTTCCTGTCCTGCTCATACTGTGTACAGGGGTGTTCATTTACAGAGTACTTTATATTCAAGATGTAATCTTTAGCCCTGTTACGTGATATTCAGGAAACCTAGGCAGGTGGCAGATGTAACATTTCAACAAGAAAAGGCTTGGACTCCCTGTTACAGATCCAAATTCAATTTGATTATGTATAGACTGGTAACAACAGAAACTTCAGCAACTTTGATGCAATCTGAGCTACATTTTCCTTTTGCTCTTTTGATGCCTAAGCTGTAAAGTAGGATGCTTTTTTGAAAGTGTGGCAAAATCCCGAGACAAGTTTTATAACACTTTAACAAAAAAAAGATTGCACTATGCAAATGAATGAAAGTAAACTGAATATGAAGGAATTATCTGTACTGCCATAATGCCACCACTCAGTAATGCAACTCTTTCAAACTGTAGCTTTAAAATAAATGGAAAGTGTTTTCACTGAGGTTTTTGTATGTGTTTCTTAAGGGAAGCAGGATATCGTTGAAAGAAAACTCCAAACTTTAGGAAAGTAATCCTTTTATATAAAATTTTAATAACATTTCTATTGTTATTTTCTAGCATCCTTAAATGTGTAAAATCACAAAAGCAGTAAGAATGAACTGTGCTGTCTAATACAGTTCAGTGAGGTTTCAGCTCCATATTTGGGATGTCTTGACAAGTGTGCGTATTTCCATATTTATCCTCGTGTATAATCTGTATGGACAGCTGGATTGTGGTATCTGAACATCTCTCATACACACACACGGCTTTCAGTATGTGCGAGATGCATCTAATGCTTTTCTGTCATACCCATATAAAGCTGCTTGATCTGGATCAGTCACTTGTGAAAATCTGACCTTCATGTGTGAGGAATCTGAGTTCCCAGGACTGCACCTTATTAGAGCCTAAGAGAATCGTTTCTAGAGTTTCTTATCCAACATTCTGAGATCTTAAGGATTTTAGACTGCTTCTGGTGTCTTTAATGCAGTATATGAAAGAAATCTCTTGAAGCTTGATTCTAAAAGATGCTGAGTATCCACTGCCTTCTCCCTAGTCCCACAGGAGTTGTGAGTAATCAGCTCTTCAGAAGAGCTAAATGCTAGGGGTGAATTCCAGAAGATAATGTTATTTAACAAATGGCACAACAGCAAGAAAAATGTACAAGTTAAAGTTTGCATGAGGATCCAGATCAGTGATACTGGCCCCATCAGGGCTGCTTGTAGTCCTGTTTTACAAGATACTCACCATAACTTGGTTGGAATTGGTGGTGAAAAGCAAACCTCAGATAATGATACTGTCAAATAATTTTGCAGTAAAACCGCTATGGTCATTTGTAGAAAGCCTTTCAGTCCTTTGACAAAAGCAGCAGCAACTATTAATGGAACACTGGAGAAGGAAGCTGGAGGTTCTGAACCTGGCAGACAGGATATTTGCTGATCCCATAGCACTGGCCTTCATTATATTTTCTATTTGAGAATTAAGAAAAAAAAAAAGAGAGAGATGGAAGTGTAAAAACAAAAATAGGCACTGGTATTAAGACTTTTTTCAGACTAACAGAAAAATTAATTGCACTAAAAGGCTGCTAAGAATTGTCGTCTCTTGGCAGATGTCACTGGGGATGTGAACGTGGAAGGACAGGCACTCACTGATGTGTCAGTCCTTTAAGGAGCTGTTCATACTTTTAAGAAAGCTTGAGAACTCTTGTACAAAAGTGTTTACCAATTAAAAACACTTTTATATAATATTTTATATATTTAATATTTTCTCCATTTAGGATGAAGGAATGAAAGCAGAAATATTTAGATTGCGTAAGAAACTGTCTGAGCAAGAGAAGAAGTTACACAGCACAGTGAAACGCCTGCACTCCACGAACCAGTTGAAGGAAAACATGGAGAAAGTCATCATTGACCAGTGTAAGTGTATGCCTTACTATTGGTGCTCATTGTATTGCTGTAGTCTGTGGCTACCTCAAAAATTGGAGAACCATCGAAATGAATATAGGCGGCTGTTCTTCTGCAGTTGCTCTGACTGGCGTTTCCTTGTGCGCGCTCAGGTGTTAGCGACAAGCAATTCATGAGGCTCAGTGTACAGAACTGATGGAGCCTCATTGGGGTTGTCATGTAAAAATCAAAGTTATTCTATTATGTCTGTCCTAATAATATCCCTGGGGTAGATTTACTCGTTTAGTTTGGTTGGTTCCTAGTTGCAGTGACATCTCAGGTAGACACACTGGGTCATTTCAGTAGAGCTGGCAGGGCATAAATCAGCAGAGATTTTACCGTTATGGCCAAAATGTTTTCTCCACAACTCCACGTACCCAGACTTTTCAAAAGAAACCAGTCCATCTCCCCCTTATTTTGCTCACTCCTTTTCAGGGCATTCAACCTCATCTGAACTAGGTCCTAATAAAATGAAGCCTGCATTTTCTGAAATCTCCTTAATGTGAAGTGCTGCCTGGCGAGCAGCAGCTTCGCTATTAGTGTCACATCCTCTAAATTCTCTTCATGTACTGAATTTAATATTTTTGATTTAGAAAAATCTAGTTTGCCAGGTGAAATGAATTTACTAGCAGAGTTCTTTATGAGCAGAGAGCACTCTGCTACACAGAAAGACCTGGATACGATTTTCTGTAAGTTTCATTGATTACAGGAATTATGGATGTCAAGTTACCTTTGCCTTAAAGAGCAATTTCAGAAATGTTTCTAAATTGCATCTGTACACAAATTCCTGACCAGGCATACAACAAAACCAGTGGTTCACATGAAGCTGCTGGGTTTTGTTAGGGCGCTTTCACTTGTTTTTGTTATTTCTTCCTTTCTCCTTTTGCTGGTAAGAAAGCAAAGGCATTGCAGTAGGTGACCTTGCCTGCTTTCATTCTCCAAACATCCTATTAGCTGGCCACTCCGCTGAGGATGTTCAGGTTCCTTCTGTTATTTAGTTGAGCATTCCTAAATATATTTAGGGACAGAGACTGGAACATTCTTGTGGCTCAGTCTTCTGTGCTTTCGCTGGCGAGCGAACTCATTGCTTATAAACCTCATCTGAACCTCTGAACATGTAACAGTGCAGTGCCAAATTGCAGTAATCTGCCAAGGGTATAATTATCTCATGACAGCTCTACCCTTGGAGTTGTTGGGTTCTTATTATTGTAATGAAAAATCTTTATTATGGCTAAATTGTTTGTTTTTTGAGACTGGAATATTAAATTGGTATTTGTGAATGGTATTTTTCAGCAGTTATGGAGCTGACACAGATTAGAGATTCACATATTTAACCTGACATTTCTAAATACCAGTTTTGTTTGGAAGCATCCCCTCCTCCATTCGCAGGTCTCACTCTGTCCCCACAGAGGCAGAATAGCTGGATGAACACAGAAAACTTGGAGCCCTTCAGAGCAAGCCACTGACATGATTTCCCCTAAGCATATATGGGTTGCCTTGTCCTTGAACCGCTGGAGGAGCTGGCTGACTTCTTTTGCCATCTGTCCTCATCCCAGCCCGTCGTTCCCCATCACCTCTCCACTGCACAATTTTTCTCTCCCTCCTGCTACTGCTAACTGCCCCCCTTCCTCTCCATCCCAAGTATACTGATAAATAGATCAGATTGTAGGGAGCTCATGCACCTACAATTAAAATTACTTACCTTAAAATTAACAGAAAGTCTTCCTTGGATGACTTAGATCAAGGTGACAAGGTCATCAGTACTGCAGGGGGCTGTTTGTACCTGTCATGTTAAATGCAGCGATGAACTGTGCGTGTTTGCACACGTATTGTTCTTGGTATGGTAGAAACACTTTAAAAACCCTTCCCTGATGGTTAGATCTGAAGAGCAGCTGATGTGCCCGGTGGAACTGGTGTGGTCCTGTGCAGATCCTTCTGCTCCCCACCGGCGCTCTCCCTGTCCAGCATTGCCCCTTCTTCATCTCGAGCTGTTGCAAGCAGAGGTTTGTACAAAACCTGCACTTCTGAACAGGGCACGGGAGGGAAGAACAGTTCTGGATTTTGGGGAGTGAGAAAGTTGAAGGGGTGGTAGGGGGCTGTGTGAGATCACCTGGTCTCTGCCCATCTTGTAGATATGAGGTCATATATTATTTAATAGTTGGCCATAAGACTTGAATACAGGGAAGATAGAAAGACTGTGCAGTATTCTTATAAATCTCCTCTTTCGTTCCAGTGGTTTTAACTCATGATGTCTTGAAGAAGGCTAGAGGAAACCTGGAAGTAAGTGAAAATTTTGCTTGCATTTAATTCCTTGACACAAACTCATTAGAAACATGCATTGCTGTATCAGTAGTATTTTGCAGAATTAGTCTGATTTGCTTTAGGTTTGCAACCTAATCAAGTCTGGGTGACAGCAGTTTAGTATGATAAATATTCTGCAATGTTTGATGTATAAATTAGTTTTATGACTGACCACATAAACAACCAAAGCCTCTCTTTTCTGATGCTTTGCCTAGATTAATATTCCTGTCTGTCATCTTCCAGTAGTTTATTTTCAGCAGATCACAGTCCAATAACCTGTCTGCTGAGCAAGTTCACAAAAGGCACCCGTATTTAAAGCTTGTGTGTTAATAACTGGTGGTGCTTTTCTTCAAAAAAAATACAGACCCAACAGGCAAAGCTTTCACTAGCAGCTCTTTGCTAATGCAGTGTATTAAATTAGTTTGAGTGTTTAAGTAATCACTGTTCAGATTTGATTTCTCCCAGAAGGTTCAGCCTTCACTCCCAGAAGGATGTAATGCACTTCTTGACTCCTAAAGCCCATCCTTCTCCTCACGCCACTCCACTCTGAGTGATTGCAGGTTTTCCATCCCCTCCTTAAAGCTTCCTCAAAAAACCGCCTCCAACACCTCCCCATGCAGCTGCTGTGTGGTGCCTCAGCCCTGCCCGAGTTAGAAAGCGATGACATTAAAAAGTCTTTTCACTTACAGAAGCCTTATCACTTTAATTTGAAGATCTGCTGAACACAGGAGCTCCTATTTGCAGCATTTATAGCCCAGGGGTAGGGACAAATTGAATTACAGCAAAATAGTAATAATTATTGTTTTTCCTAACCAGGTCCCACCAGCTGAGAATCAAAAATCACCTTCCTATGCCAGCAAAAAAAGGATTCTCTGAAGGAGAAATTTCCACTGACAGAGACTGGTCCTGTGATTGTTGTTTGCTTCTTTATGCCTTACTATTTATTGATGTAAAAATGTTTGTTCAGCTCTTTTAATGGAATCAGCCTTTGACCAAAAAAAAAGAAGATGACAAAAAAGGAAATCTTTTGGTAAATAACTTATTTAACATTTTCTGTAATGTAAAAGATGGTTTTTAATATTTATTACAGAAGCAAGGTACTGGAGGTATTGAAGAAAAAAATCCAGATTTTTTTTAAAGTTGGCTCATTTGAAATTTTATATTTGTACTTGCCATGTTATAAAACTGTTTGTTGTTGTAGTCAAGTAAGTCCTGAAAGAATCAAGAATGTGACCAACCTTCCAAACTGCTTCTCTACTGCTAAAAGAATGTAGGTTAAGAAAAAATCTGCCAGTTGTCATTGTGTAAGCAACGTGAGAAGTGTTCAATGTTTTAAAGCGTTTTAAACATATCTGGAAGATTCTTCTGGAAGCTGCCTGATGCTGAGCTTTCTTACTGCCCCATTAGAAGCTTAGATTGATGCTAGGTCTGAAAATATTACTCAGAATCAGACAATTAAAATGAAAAGTAATCACAAACGTGTTTGTGCTGTTTTGTTTCAAACAGCAGACTTTGAGCATGTCTTGAGCAAAGCAGCTACATTAGAGTGTTTGTTTCCCAAGTTCAACTAAAATGAGTCCGGTCCTTATCAGTGTTTGTAAGGTTACACGTTTTAAATTTGTAAACTTTTAAAATTTAAATTACTTTTTTACTGTGGGTTTTTATCTCTCACGTTGATACATATAACAGTGATTTTTGGCAAGGCCAGAGAACACCAGTACTAAACATGCCTGGTTGTGCTCCCCTCATCCTGCTCGGTGCCTTTTCAATTTTGCCTTTGGTCTGCGCTGCCCGAGCGCTCGGTGTCACAGCGGAGCTGACTGCAGCCTGCTCTCGGTGGCACAAAGTGAGCTGGGAAAATGGTTTCATTTAACCCCAACGAGACCATAATTGAAAGTGATGGTTGGTTACAGAAGTAGACTTTATGGTGCAATCATGGTTTTATTGAACTAAATGAATTGCACACAAAGTGGGACTATTTCCCCCCCACACTCCAAGTGGGTAATGTCCCCATTCTACAAGATAACTTGCCCCCATCATCCAAGGTCGGCACAAGGTCGGGAAAGTCTCAACACAGGATTGTGGTTGTATTGGGTCCTTGGATATTGCACTCCAGAGAATAACCAACCTGTAATAGGCTTTCATAAAAAAATGAATTTTGCTCATTGAAACGGCTATGGAGATGCACAGCAATCACACCAAGAGCCAGAGGGCACTCGGACTGGTGTGGTATTACACACAAGACAAGTCAGAATAGCTCCCTGCCTTCCACTAAAGCTTTGGTTCGTTCACATCTCTTTCCCAACAATTTAATGGTATTCGGTTAACTCTGAATGCCACAAAGATGCTCTGAATCACTTTGCTTCTAAAGTGCAGCTTGATGTTAAATGGTTGGAACTGTTGTATCCTCCCTTTGGGCAGACCTGTGCTCCTAAGTTCTGGGCAGTTGCTGGTATGACAGGTAGGTATTGCACAGGTCGCAGATAACCTGGTCCTCAGTACTGACTCATGGGGTCCTCAGTACTGACTCATGGGATTCCCTACTCCCACATAACCATTGTGCATGTGACTATGAAAATGGAGTTAATGGGAGGTCCCACGGCCTTCCTGGAGGTGTCTTGCTCTGCGAAATGTTGTGTCCCTTGGAGAACCCAACCTCCACAGTGCTCACCTGAACCTCCCGATGGCCTGGACTTCCATCGCGCATTGAGCACTTGCAGCTCTGCCCATCAAGGGACATGGACAAAACCCCGCGGTCGTTGGGTGTAGCTGACAGCAGGGGGAGGCAAACTCATTTGGCTGGATGAGAGGAGAGATGCCAGGAACAAAAAAAGGAAAAGTTAAAAATAAACTTTGCGGACTGAAAAAGGGGGGAGGTAAGGGAAGAGCATGCAGTCAAACTTGTTCTTCAGTCTCTTCACACATTATTGTCCTCACAGCTCACTAAAAACGTCAAGTTAATTTTACTAAGTAGCTAAATTATAGACACTCAGATGTAATCAGAATCTGCTATACATTTCAACTTTCAAAATTAATCATCCTACGTTTTTGAGTTACAACACCTGAAGGAAACAGCTGTACATCTATATATAGTACATCCCTGTCGCTTGGTCTTCTTGCAGCCTTTCCCCCCACACACCATCTGTACTTAAAGCAAATAAAAAAATAAATTAGTTTCCTTTTCCTGAGATGATTTGCCACTTAATTCTTAATGGTCCCTGCTGTGCCCTCTCAGAGCTCTTCTCCTGACCCCTTTTTTCCTTCCGATCAGCTCCAATTCCCGCATCCAGTTCACAGCAGAGCGTCCATGTGTGTGGGTGCTGGGTGGGTCAAGGGCACATTTCCACTGTTGAGACTCGGCGAGATGGGGAAAAAATGTAGTATATCACTACCTCTTTAAAAACAGATGATCTTCCGAGATCAAAGTATTTCATCTTAATGAGAAGTGCTTCTTAAACACACACAATTTGCTGGGCCAGTTTAAAAATAATTTTAAAAAAGAAGGAAAAAAAATAAAGCTTACCAGATGGAGGGCTGGAGAAGACAAAGCTTATGGAGTGTTAAAGTTAGTTCCCATTAAACAAAATTAAATTTTCCTTTAAAAATAATTATGTGGGTGAAAAATAAGCCGAGTAAGCAAATGGGATTAAAGGAAGGGCTCATTTGCTTTGTGAGTTCCTGCCTGCGCTTTCATTATGTGTGCAAGGTGATCTGAAACATCACTGCGAGAGTCGGTCAGGAGTGAGAATGCGGCTGGGGGTGGGGAGACCTGGGGGGCTGTGGGCTTTACCTGCGACCTTGAACCTCGCCGGCAGCGAGCAGGCTGTGGGCTTTCTCAGATGGGCTGCTGAAATTCTGTGGAGAATAAGAAAACAAAATAAAGAAAAAGCTTTTTCCTTCTCTTTAGGCCCCCTACAACATGTACAGCTACATATGAGCACTGAATAAAGGAAATATTTGTGGAGTTGGGGCACAGCAGTGGGTCACAGACACCCCCGTGCCTGGTGCCGCTGGCCAGCCCTGAGCCACCCCTGCGCGGCTGGAGGCTGCGGGCGCAGCTCAAGAGCAACGCGGTGATCACCTCTGCCAAAGGGAACAGATAGAAATAATA